TGAATCAATTCATTTTCTACAGCTACTCTGTATGTTTTACAAGCGGACGCGCAATCAGAATTAAGAACGCAAAATTCTTCCGTGACTGCGTATGCATGACCGCCGTAAAACGCACGAAATCCATAGGAAATGGATTTGTTCATTTCGCTTACAATCTTACAATCTTATGCTACGGCTATTGTAGACCCGGCTTAATTGTTAATTGCAAATTACACTTTTTTTTTTAAAAATAACTATGTGTTACATCAATTGATTTCTCTTATTATTTTGTACATAAAATAATAAGAGGAATCAATTGATGTATTTTATACATATTATTTTGTACATAAAAGTATTAAGGTAAGATAATCGAAAAATAAATATTTTACTAGATATTTTATGGTTTATGTAAAATTAAGAAATTATTTCAATCCTTATAACTCGAAAAGTACTCAAAGAAATATTTTATTATAGTATTTTGGAAAGCTCTCGAGATAAGCTACACGAATATGCAATAAAAAACCAATGACATCATCTTCTGGCCCCCCTTTAAGCGACACAACTTTTGTCTGAAACATTTCTTTCTAAAGTGCGTAGTTTATAAAATATCCGTCCCAAAACTTTTGGTAGGCCATATATATACCATCCATAAGTTTTCGGAAGAATAGCCAACAAGTATAAAAAGATTATATTTATATTATATTTATATACTGTTTTACATTAATTAAAGTTGATTTCTGTAAACAAATATTTAAAAAATCTGAAAAAAATTCTAAATAATTTAAGAATCAGTTAAAAATTTTAATTCTAAATAACAATAAAAATATTTTAAGAATAATCATAGTAGAAAAAAGAACTGAATTTTATTCACATCATCATAATAGCAATTTTTATAAAATAAACAGTTAATATGATTTAATTTTTTTCTTTATATTAATATAGAAAACAAATATTTATTTTAATATAATTAATTAATGAAAAAACTAATGATTGCTTCATTAAGTAGGTTCAAATTTATCTAATTCTAAATTCTTAATTTATCGAATTCTAAATTACTCACACAATATAAAGAGCTCTATTAATTTTTAATAATCTGATTTCTTTTATATAAAAATATGTTCAATTAATAGTGGGTTTCAAATTTTTAAGAGTTATTATTTATATACACTATTGTATATTTTCTATTTGAACGGTTTTTTAAATAACAAGCGATTTTACTTCTGTTTCTCAAAAACATATTTATGATTTATATCTAGCAACAAGGAGGCCATTTTTATGCTGTTCATAATCTTATGCTATTCAATATTCTGTGTATTCACATAGTAATATATATATATATATATATATATATATATATATATATATATATATATATGACATAATTATTTTATGTCTTAGCATTTATTTTAAAAATTCGATGCGATAGATTTACTTTACGCTCTAGCCGGTAAAATCAATAATATTGATTTAATTACTTACGTACAAAGCAGAATTAAAATAGCAGAATATGGAGCCGCACTTACCTGAAACAAAAAAATTAAAATATCTTAATCTTGTTGTTGTATGCATAACAAAACACAAAAAGGCAAAAAGAAAAGAAGAGAAAAAGAATTTAATTTCTTTTCTTAATTTTTTTTCATTAATTTTTGATAAATTTTGCAGCTTCTTTAATGATAAAAATAACAATAAAAATATAATCGCTTTACATTCCAACACAATTTTTGAAGCAAAAATAGCGTCAAACTAAAAAAAAAAAATATAAGTTTGCAAATAAAATAATATAAACAATTATCTCTTTCAAAATTAAAAGAAATTGGAAAAAATTCTATGCATAATAAGTATTTGAATTTTAAAAGAGATACCATATATTTCACTATTAAGTTTAGCAGAATTTTTAATATTATTAAATATAATAATAAAAAAGTTATGCAAATTTGTTAAAGAAAAAATAATCTAATCTATTTTCAAATTTACTGATGTTAATAGTCGCATAAATGTATAATCATATTAATTTACATTAATATAAGTAAGTTTTTATTATTATTAAGTGAAACTCTCTCTTTGTTATTTTTTATATTTAATTTCTTTCTTTTATATTTAATTTTACGACTGTTTCGCACAATTATAATCTTAGTTAGAAATAGATTATAAGAAATTTGCATAATGATTAGAATGCAGAGATGAGGAGGGATATGGAAATAAGTCTGAAATACTCGGGTGCTTAAGAAAAAAATCTCATTCCACTCTAGTAACGAAACCACTTTCAGGATTCCGTATGAAAATGCAATGTAATACTCTCTCCGCGATTAAGAAGAAACCCTTTTCTATTCCCACTCTGTTTTATTTTTATCGAGTGAGATATCACACGATAAGCATTCTAAAAATAAAACAGGTTTTAAAAATAATATAAAGTGTCATTATAAAAGATAAAATAACGAGATAAACATATAAAGCGATATAACATTTAGATAAGTTTGACTTACATATAAAATAAAATCGCTTGATATTATTCCATCTTCAGCAAAAATGCATAGGACGATAAAACAAAGTGAAAATGGCAATGTTTATAATAAATATGTTAATAATACATCTGATAATGATGAAGTTTCGAATTTTGCAACAATCTTGATTAAATGAAGGACGTAACTTTAGTATGATATTACCATAATTTCAATATTACACTAAAAGATGTTTTTAAACTTATTTTTGATAGATGTTTATGATGTGGTACGTAAGTTCATTTATGACTCTTGTGAGTACAAAAGCGGAATTTAATATTAAATTCTGAGAAATTGCGCAATTTTATGTTATACTATGCTTTACCCCAACACGGTATTCTAATATTACATATATTCTTAGCCTTGACATTTGTTGATAACTTTCTTTGTAGATTTATAATGGCTCTCATTTATAATTATGTTCACATTTTCAGAATAATTGTTTGTAATATATATAATTGCATAACAGTTATAAATAATAAAAAAACTTATTGATAAATAGTGCATCTTTTCTAACCGTTACATACAAATATCGAAAAAATTCAAATTATATATTTATTGCTAAAATAGATCCGTTGAAATATGAAATATAAAAATGCGATAAAAATCACCATCTCACATTTAACTTAAAATACTTAAAAGCTTAAAAAACACGTAGAAACTTTGTAGAAAACTTAACAAAGTGAAATAATATTTTAAAGTAAAGAGAAGCTATATCCATCTTCTTTGACTAAAGTAATCTCTCTTTCAATTTTACAGAAAATGCTAAACATTTCATTGAAACAAGAAAACGAAAAAAAAAAGAAAAAGATATTTAATAGAAAGTTTATATTATAGTATTATTTTCATAATTTTCTTATTGCTAATAAACTTTTATTAAAAATATATTATAAAAATATTATTGTTTTATGTAAAAAAAACAGTATATCAGTATTCTCAGTAAAAAAAACAGTATATCAGTATTTTGAGAGTTACTATCATTATCTTAAAACTATTTAGAGCTGCTTTTACATTTTCTTATGTTCTATAGATATTGACAAATGCTTTGATTTATCAACTATCAACAAAATTTTCTTACAGATTTATATATATTTATGTTAAATGTATATGTGTATATGTGTGTATGTATGTTATGTATGTATGTGTATGTATGTATACATAGTGTGGCACAAAAGTGCACTCATGGTTTTATTTCTACGTGCCATAACAATCGCTATTGGTTTCCGATGAAATGACCTGCATGTTGTCGACAACGATGATCGATCATCAAAAGCTTGTTTTTTGCAGAGTCGTTTATAGTATATTTATAAGACAAAGCGACTCAACTCTTGCTCAATGAAAAAAGTTAATAATGATATTATTAACCGCTCATAACACTTTTAACATTTTTATTTAAAAAAATAGTCGAGCTCTTTATTCGCGTAAAAATTTACATATATTAATAAACGGTTTTATCATCATTAAAAAAAATGCAAGATAAAAAGCAAACTCTTGTAGAGAAAAAAAACACAACGTAATGATATATAAAATATAATAAATGTTTTTGTAATAAATGTAAAACTTTTCGCACGGTCTAAACTTCGATAATTAAATTTAATTATTTAATAATTCTGTAAAACAAGACAAACGCAAAAAATATAATGAAAGTTTTTGTAATAAATTGAACATTAAACTCAAATATAATATGAATAAATGAAAGCTGCGGAAGAAAGCAATAAATTTTTCATTGTTTGGAAACAATAGAACATCGTATTTATAATCATCCTACGCAAAATGAAAATTTTGTTACAACGACATAAATTTTATTCTTTCTGCGACAAAAAATTAAATATAAAACTTAATTTCAATTTTCAAAATGAGTAATTTTCTTATATCCAACGAAAAATTAATTTTGACTCAAGTAGTAGTACATGTGTCATAAAGAAAATTTTTGCATGCAAAGAAGAAGTTAAGTTACTTTGTTCAAATTGTCGTCAAATTTTTCTATTTAAAAGAATGATAAGAAACAAAATATAAAGAAAGAATATTATTATACAATTATATAATTATTATATTATAATTATATAATTATTGTTATATTATTAGTATTATTATTATTATTATTATTATTATTATTATTATATAATTATAATTATATCATTATAATCTTATGCAAAATATAGAAAAAATATAAAAAGATAAAAAGATAAAAAGATAAAAAGATAAAAATCAAACTCTTGTAGAGAAAAAAAACACAACGTAATGATATATAAAATATAATAAATGTTTTATTAAAAAGATCTTGATAATATAAGATTTATTAATTGGAGGAATAATTTTTTTGTACTTATTTTTTCATCTCATTTCTAAATTCATTCAGAAAAATATTTATATACTTTCACGGTAACAAGTATAAATCACAATCCTCCAACCCACATTAAAAGAGCAGATCGCTATAAAATGTAAGCTACCAGTTTACGAGATCGGATCTAGTCGTAACAATCGAAATCGAGCCTACTCCGAAGAAACAACGAACCAACCAACCTTTCGTCCAACCTGAAAGACGACCTGGACAGGTCGCTCCAGGCGCTCATGCTTCGACTGCGTCTCCTGCAGGACTGCTGCGGCGTCAGCAGTCTGCTGCTGCTCCTCCGTCTGGTGGACGCCAGATTCTCCGCTTGAAAATACACCCTCGGTGCCTTCTGCTGGGACGTCGGCGGCGTCGAGGTCGGCGTAACCGCCGTCGAGGTGTGGAGCTCCGGTAGGGCCTCGTAGTCCCATGCTCTGGCGCCCATATCGAGCAGGGGCACCGACGAGGCAGAGCTCGAGCCGCGAAGTGGGTCCCGAGGCTTGCGGTGATGAAACAGGGCGAGGAGCTTGCGACACACCGACTCGTTCTCTCTCTCCCTCTCCCGTTTCTTTGCTGCCGGCAGCTTCACCTTGAGGCAATCGCGGGACGTACGAGCTCGACCGCCGATGCACGTCCCTTCGACCACATTACCGTAAATTTTCCTCTTCGATTACTCGGCATGGTTATAATTGAGCCAGCATTGATAGAAATACGACGAGCAAATCCAAGGAAACTATCGTGAAACTGAGCAGAATCGCTGGCTAACGAAGTAGTTGGTACACACTTGATGAACATGATTGAGAAGTGTTATCCGTTAACGAGTAACGATGATCGATCGGCTCATAAAAATTTAGAATTATCCGCATTTCATAAAATTCACAATGTTATCGTTTTATTACGAAAACGTGAATGCCCTCCTCTTCTCTTTCCTTAGCGTAATTTTAGAATATTTCAAACACTGCGCTTATTCTAAGTAATTTAATAATGTTTAATCTTATTTTTGAGACCTATTTCACTATAAAAGTTTCATGTTTTATATACTTATTGTTCCTTTGATTATTGAAATTATTTTTAAAGAGAAGTCATTCTCGATAACGAAACTTGCATTAAAACATTACAGCAGATGAAATTCCTCTGCTTTCGCTTTTTAAAGATATTCTCAAGGGAGATGCAACGGAAATATTATGCCGTTTGTTAAATACCGCAGCAAAGTCATGAAGGAAATGCATGCAACCACTTGAAATCTTCTCGTTACGTAAAAGCTGATTACAATTTAGGAAAGTTTTGAAAAAGCAATTAAACGCGCTTAGTTGCGACACAAATAATTTAAAGTAGAAGTAGCGGAAGTAATTTCGTACATTCATTCATTTCGTTTTTACGCGATGTAAAGGGCAGTTGAATAATTAGACTTTGTCTCTGATCTACTGGATAAATTTGCATCAGAAAAAAGTTGCAAATGATCTTTCGAAAAGCAAAAACATATTCTTTTTCTCAATTCTTTCGAGATATTATATGGAAAATAATATTTATAAATGCGAGATAATATCACATGCATTTCCTATTCTTAAGAAAAAAATTAAATAATTAAAATCGCAATATTAATTAATACTATTTTCCAACTTACGTTCTTAATATTAACAATATTTGAGGAATTTTCGGATTTTGAATATTAATTTGTTCTAATTCATCTCCAAATATTATTAACAATGCTTACAAGTACATTCTAAAAGCAATTTCTCTCTTTCATTTCACTCTTATCCGAATCAAATCTTGCAAATTTCATGTAACTGACGCTATAAGATAACAAAATAACATGAGCTATCTACGATATTTTTTATATCAGATGATATTTTCTATTTAAATACACGGTTTAGACAATCGAAAAAAAGTAACTTGTAAAGTCTGCTTTTTCTATCCAACTATTGTCAAACTTTGATTGGCAAAAATGAAAGTTGCATGTTCGATTTTTGCGAAACTACTTTTGACATCAAGTGATACTCGCATTAAGCACTATAATCGTCATTAGATGAAAACAATAATTGATCGCAAATAACAATGACACCACATGAATTATTAACACATTTTGTGCAACTGTACAGGCAAAAAGTATTTGACGTTCCTTTCGGAATTGTTTTGTATCGATTCGCATTTCGCTCGTACAGTTAATTTTCGTGATAATATCAGAGCAAATTTAACATCCTACAGAACATCAAGATTCGTATATTTTATATTTTAATGAAAAAAGAATTTTAAAGAATTTTCCGATATTTTATTTGTACTTTTAATCCACGATTTGCATGTTTTTGGAATATATCTTATATGATTTTTATACATTATAAACTATATATGAATTATCAAGAGCATAATTACACACGTAACAACAGCCAAAACACATCAGAAGAATGTACAAACGATGTGACACATCGCTCATTATTTTTTATATGAATCCTCTATCTTTGTTTTTGCCGAATAAATGCGTGTTTTACTCGACAAATATATCCCTAACAGATTCTTCAAGATGAAATAAAATAATGTTCTATAACGAATGCGCATCAACACTTTGATTGATCGCCGCGACCGCAAAAGCATCTCGAGACATTTCGTTTGCACGATACATTTCCGTTTGACCCGGATGACGTCACATGGCAAACGAAGGTCATGGTCGACAATCTCTACAACGATATGATCGCGTTTCTTTGCGAGATCCGCGTCATCAAATCAACTGACATTTCGACGACATTACATCAGTTTATTAAACAAGTTTCGAAAATGCTGTTCATTTTTTAGTCCGATATCTTTAAAAAATAATGTCAAGCTTCATTTTGTGCTCCACTTCGAGATCTCTGCAAACAGTTAGTCATTTAAACACTTGATCAGATAGCAGCGAAGTCTGTAGATCGCATGCGTGAGAACATTCACTTTTTCACATCTTAAAACCTTGGCTTAAGGTGCGGCAAAACAAGGTCGCACAAGCGCTTTAAATCTTCGTCTAAACAACAAAATCCTCGGATAACGAAGAAGATCCTCTCGTGTCTTCACATAAATCCTACTTCATGTCCTTCAGAATAATAACTTTTTTCTAATCATTTGATCAACAATATAAGAGTGCATTTAATTATTTAATTTTTATTTCAAACATAATCAAGTCTCGGAGTTTCACCAAATTTCCTCATGCCAATCAAATTTCCAGTCTTCACTTAAAAATCCTTCTTCATAAAACAATTGAATTAATAGTCCTACGTCAAAGATATTCCCCGAGATTTATCAATGACAGATATTCAGCTCCTCCGAGGAATAATGAACCGCTGTAAATTCGGTGCAGGAGGCAGCGTCTCACGAGGATAACGTTCCGCTGTCACTTCTAGGGGCAGAATCGTTAGAGGGAGAATCGTTATCCACCTCGTCGTCCTCCGAGTCGCTGCACTCGCGAACAGGCGCCTGTGTTCTCAGTATCTTAGTGATATCAATGTAATATCGATGCGACGACAAGTGGCGCGCTTCGCGATTTAACCGACGACAAGACATTTCGAGAGAGGGTAAAGAACAGACGGAGATTCTCTAGCGTCGCAATTTCTCACCCTCGCGCAGCAGCGATATACCCCGACGATACGTCGTTGATTGTCTCTCCTTGTCGTCACGGTTCGTAGAATTCAACGGGTGTCGCACATCCGGAGCAGGAGGATGGAGTACAAATGCCGCATCGTCCTTGACATTCGACGAGGCGTCGCGACTATTCGTGGGATAAAATGTATCAATCACTCTCCGAGGGATCCGAGGAGAGATCTCGGGAATAATCCGGCAATTATCACTGCTTCCTCGCACGCAACTGGGCAAACAAAAGATGCGGGGATCGAGCAGGCTCACGAATCAACGATCTATCTTGCGAAGGGCGGAGCGGCACCCTCAGAATAAATAACCGGAGGTCGGTCCAGGTATTGTCTCATGGCCATCAACGATGCCTTTTTCGCGGCGCGAGAGAGAGAGGAGGCCAGCTCGCAGCTCACTATCCCGTACTGCGGTACACGCTAGCGGTTTTCTCTCGCGCGCCACCCCCGCACCGCCGGCCTTCCACCCCCGTGTGCCTCCTTTTCTCTCCAGCTGGCTCCATCAAGCGCGCTCTCACCCTCTCTCTTTCTCTTTCTCGAGCAGGGTATAATCGTCATTCATCTCACTCGCTCCCCGATCTGCTGTTCCCCTTTTCCTCCTCGTCCTGCTCCTCGTCTCCTCTGTCGCCGTCATCGTGAAAGGGCGCGCATACACGCACGTGGCGCCGCTTTGTTGTCAAGGCGACTGCGCCACTTTGGAGGTACGTCCGAGATCCACTCCATTCCCGGTCATCTCAGCTTGACATCCGTCATATCCAGGTTTCTCGTAGGTTGCTCCGATGAATGAGGAACGATCGCGTGGCGATAAACGTCGCGCACGATTTGTCCGCTTCTCGATAGTAATCACGTTTTTTTTCGTCGTCGTATCCCTTGAAATGCTATCGAACTGTATTCGAGGATCATTTGTCTTGTCGAGAGAAAGATACGCGTAACTCTGTGTCTCTTGCGCTCCATACGTTTCCAAAAGCGAAAAGTGAATAATAGAGACACGAAGGATCAAGTTTGTCTTCTGGAGTCGTTTATATCAATGATGTTCGGCAAGATAAATTTATCTTAATTCGTCTCGGTGTTTTTATCGGGACATTTAGCGCTACTCTACTTTTTTATTGATTAAATTTTATTGATTGAATTATTTGTTTAATTTTTTGATATACTCGTCAAATTCTCCGAATGCAGCATCCCTGTTTAATCAGCGGGATAACCTGCGCTCTGTTAAGGGTGAGTTCGTGCACTAGGGACAATGGGTTATTTTGGTGTGTAACGAAACATATACGGGAATGAATGGACGGGCTGTCGGAGAGACAACATCGATTCGCACCGGGAGCCAAGCTAAACTTGCGTGACGAGCTTGCGCTGTAATGCGGGCGGAAGACTTAAAATTCTGAGTGAACCACGTGGCATATTATATGTGAGCCAAGCTCGCGTGATAAAAAACGCGAAATGAACTTTCTAATGGAATTTTTTCTCCTTCGTAAACTCTTTGTAATCTTACAATCGGCACTTTAATGCAACTTTGCATTCATAATATTAACTTTACCGCACGTGTTACCTATATTAATGTTTATAATGCAAAGAAAATTACAACTGCAGGAGATTTGCATAAATTTTTTTGCAAGAAGAGCATAAATCTTTTTATTAATTTCTAGCTTTAAATAAAATTTAAAACATTCAAAAAGTCAATCAGATCTTTTCTAATATATTTATATTTAATATACATTTATATTTAATATATATATAATTTATAATATATATATATGTATATATATATTTATATATATATTTATTAATATATATTTATGCATCTAGAAAATTATATTTATTTTTAACAATAGACGATAAAAGAAATAAAATGTAATTTTAATGTCATTAAATTGTATGTATCATGTTATGCAAATATTTATATGAAAGACAAATATTGTGAAATTAATATCTCTTACATTTTCAACAATTTACTTAACCGCTTATGTACCATTTATGTAAGAGGCATTATATATCACTTTGTGCGATATGTAGTGCACCACATCAAAGTTAGATGGAGTGTACCAAGTTCTCTATACATTGCTCCATTTATGAATCCTTAATTCCATAAATTTAGATTTGAATTTTACAAATTACTACAATTTTACAGTTACAAATTTATTACATTAAAATCCGTATAAAATTGTAATATAATTTTAGTATAATTTTAATATAATATAATTATAATATACTATAGTTTATAAAAAATAAAGTAAAATATAAGTTCTAATTATGTATTTGCACTTTAGAAAAATGCATTTTAAAATATCATAAATGCAACAAGCTTAAACCACTTTGTTTTACCATTAGAATTATTAGATAATAAATAGGAAATTGCAGAGATATGCATATAAATAGCATATGGTTGATGTAATCAGTCGATTTTGCGAAAGATTTGAAAGCCACGCTTTTTACTTTTTATGACGCAAGGCTTCATATATATAATAGCACAAAGAGATAAGCATGCATAACGAACGAGCAGAATATGCACAACACCATTTCAAGAAAAGATATCGCTCCTCTGCTGCACATCTATTTTTCCTGACAATGCAGATAGGCTACATCAATTGTACTAATGGAGGAAGAAGATTGCTGTTGCACGTCAAAGATATAACTCGAATATTGTGATATAAATCTTGAAAGTTGATTAGAATATAAACGTGATTTAATAGTTATTATCTTTGAACAGCGTGTTATTATTTCCATTTATGTGCAAGGCTATGTATACAAAAGTTATATTTATATAAATATTACAATGTCTAAAATATATAAATGAAAAAGATTTATTCCATAAAATTTAACTGGCAAATAATATAATAAACAATTTTTTAAATATATAGTTTTGACTTTAAATTTCTATAATAATC